ATCCAAAGAAATGGTAATTACATTATGAAAGGGCTGATATGGAAGAAAACTGGGTTTGTGATCAAATGAAGTTTGTTGGACATAGCGGAGGAAGAATAGTACTGCGCCGACTCCAAGTAGGTAACTTGGGATCAGTATAGGAAGATTATGAGAAGTAGTCGACTATACCCGCAACAGTCGCAGACAGAGCAAAGCTCCGAGAACCTAACGGGTAACCGGGGCTCCGGCTCGACGTGTAGGAGAAGGAACGGGGTGGTTTTTAGTCAGTAAGAGTCTGACACTCCCTCCCGCCTCACCCAGGCGGGAGCAGTCATTCGGTGATTTTCCCCCCTTAAAAATAAAAAGTGGTGCCATCAGGTAATCATAAGAATACACACCGTGAAATATATTTCGTTTTCGTCCCGAAGTAAAATGTTTCTGTCTCGGTAATACAATTGCTTTACAAAGAAATACAAAGTTTAAAACAAAAAATAAATGGTGAATCATTGCAAAAAGCAAACTTCAACATCTCATAATACATTATCAAAATATCACGCCATGTAATTCATTCTCGAAGAGGTACTTCTCGTATGCAACGCGAATACTGGCAACAAATTTACGTCGTATGAGCGTATTTCAATGATTTTTTAAACTAAAAAAATGCATCTTTATTTTTTGTCAATACATCGAATGTACTCCTTGTGGCAAGTTATTTTACCGCGGGACGAAAGCGAAATAGATTTCCCGGATTATAACAAATGGGACACGGGGGCGCAGGACATTTCCTGTATAATGTCATTCAATATGCCGAGAAATTGCACAAGGACTGAGAAAGCTGAACAGTTTGCGCGTTGTAACGAAGGCGGCCTTGCAAGTAATGCACGCGGGTCACGGCCGGACTGTTGCTCGCTTTAATTAAATATTTTTGTTTTAATATTTTGCTGACCGATCTATTGCGCAGACTTAGCTAGTGCTTAGTGCTTACGTAAGCTTTCGCGAAAGGTCCAAGTGTTAATGTAATGGCACGCACACATATACATGCAGGGCCTGCGCCTGTATGCCAAGCCTGTGTGAGTGTGTGTGTGTGCCTGCCGCAGCGCACGCGCACGTAACTTGACGTTTGCAGTTGTGTCTGTGTTTGGCACAGTGTCGCGTCTGTGTGCGTTTCCTTTCGCCTTTCGGTGCGCGCGCGCGACCTCCTTCCGCCGGCGAAAGTGGCGCACGCGCAAGCCACAGCATGCACATATACAGTTGCTTAACTGAATGACTATTACTGAATCAAATTTATTTCTATTCATATTCAAGTAATGCATGAACGGCGTGACTGAAGCGGGCGCAGCTAGAGTTGCAGCCAACGATCCAATGAAGAAGACACAATGTCATTGAATGCTGATAGCCGCGATATTACTTTGTAAGTAATATGTTCGTATCACTGAAGCGAGTTCAGTTCCCTGAAGATGAGTAAGTCAGGGTGACACATTGACGCACTGCTGGCTCGCGCTGCTTTGGTAGGCTGTGGCACTCACACACACACACACACACACACACACACACGCGCGCACACACATGTATGTACGTTACGTGCTCTGATTACAACTGCGAGTGTAATGACTTTGATTGTTTGGAAGCGTATATATTGACATTATGTAACATGTTATCTGTCCACACTATATTGACTGAAGACTACAAGCGACGTTCTGAGCTTCCGCAATAATGTTCTGAGTTAAGTGAAAGATTTTAGAGCGAATTGTATTAGTCTCTAGCGAATTGGATAACAGGGAACAAAACAAATGGCGGAGCGGCGCCGGCGGCGACCCGTCGGTGATATAACCGGCGCGAGCGGTCGGCCGGTCGAGTTACTGCCACTACTACTGCTGCTGCTCGCGCCGGTCATGCTTGGAGATTGCATTTCATTTCGTAACTTGTACTATGTAGATCCGGTTCGAAGTCCAGACTGGTTGAGACGAAGCTGTATGGCCTAAGCAGGGCGAGGAGTGGGGAATGACATCGTCGAGGGTTTCAATGTTAGCACGTGACATACGCCGGAATATAATGCTGTTTTTGTTTTGTAACGTGAAAAAATTGTCGGCTGTGTTGAACTGTGGGGCCTGAGGGAGCTGCTCAAGTGACAGTCAGCGTGACTGTCCCAAGGAGCGGAACTACGGACGTCACTGTGCCTCATGTACTACGCATCACTACTTGGCGGATTTATAGAGCTCGAAACGCTCGGCCCGACACCTTTCGCAAAATTGCTTTAAACAGCTTAAACGCTCGTCGGGTCGAAGGGAATAGATGTTAATATCATAGAATGGAAATATAAATGTTATCCAATTTGTCAACAAACTTTTATTGCACTGCATAGTGGGAGACAAGACACATTAGTTGTGTTCAATATGTTCTCAGTGAAGAGTGAAGCGTATCTCAATTATATGTCAACGTATGTGTGTGTGTGTCGCGTTATGTGCTCAGGTAGTTAGCACTTACCTGACTGTTTACTTTACATCATTAGAATACTAAGCAGTTAGCAGAGTGTGAAAGTAAACACGGTACACGTTATAAAGTCGCAGTACAGCGACACGTGCGCGTGACCATAGTCACCCTCCTGCATCTGGAGCAGTTACTGCAGCTACTGCTCCTGCTGCAGACGCTGCGCCCGTGACGTTGGCGGCAGTGAGTTGTGCAACGAGGTGCTCCGGCCACCTTCACTTCCATTGAGAGCATAATATTGATTACATATCAGGTCAGTTTATGTAACAGCCGGCGTGGACCTATTGCCGGGATGGTGCAACGCCATCTCATCGATCATGTGGCCCCGCGACCTCTCCATTCTACTATCACTTCGACCTGTGTTCCGTATTGCAACCGACCAACTCTGTTGTGATATCGCACGCGATGACGCGAGCTACAAGAGCGACATGCGACCCCTGTCAGTCGTATGCTCCCACGACTTGTTGCGCAACTTGTGGTCCACGTCGGTGATCTTTACTCCAATTAATCCAAAGTGCGATTGATTTGTTTCAGCTGTTAGACGCCAAGAGCCGATATCAGTGTACATGACTGCAGTATCTTCTCGTTATCATGGAAACTTATTGTTTGGCGCAAATGGAAGCGCGCACGTGCCACGTGACGTGTAGCGCGCTTACATTCGCACCGCGCGCGCGACAATAGCCTGAGATGAGCAAGTTCAAGGGTGCGCTCACTCGGGGGCACTTCCCACTGATGTCTTCCATTGCTTGCACCGTGTCTGTGTGTGCAGGCGTTGCAGTGGCCGCGACCTCTGCGACCTCTGCGACCCCCGTGACCTTCACGACTGGCAAATGTCAAGCAGGTGACGACAGAGCGCGGCGGCGGCAGCGGTTCGGCGCTCGATATCCTTGTTCTCGTTTCCACTTCATTTATTGTGCGATACATAATTAGTGGCAATGACAACTGATTCGAAATGAGAACATTAATGTTGACCCCAGGTTAACTGGTGCGCGGCTGCCGAGCTCGTGTCTCAGTAGATAGTTCCAGTGCTTGGAACAGGACGAGCGGCCGCGGCGGCTCGGCGCCCGAAATACAGACATAGCTTGCACTGCACCAGTACACATATTTCATTCCTTCGTCGCCTGTTATGTCATCAATAACAAAATATAAACTTACTAGCAGTAAGTTTATATATATTTTTTTATTTAAAAAGGTTTATGCACTCAAGCACATGGGTGGACTTAATGCCGCAGGCATTTTCTACCAGTCTGACCCTTGGGTGATGCAGAGAAAGTAATCAGCGGGTGCAAGAACATGCGTCGAATTTAACTATTTGAAAGAACACATACATAATTCGGCAATATATACAATATATGTATACTACAACATCACTAAATATATATTGAAGAATGCATATATTGACGATTGCAAAAATCAAAAGTGTAATGGAAATCAAAAGACCGATTTGGCTGATATTTTGTTGTTGTGTTTGTTATTGTCAGGAGAAGGTTCTTATGAAAGAATAAAAAAAACTGAAAATTCTACGGAAACGGGAGAAAACGGGTTTGCGTCGTACGAAGTCGCGGGGAGAAGCTAGCATTATATAATTTCATTGAAAAAAAAAAAACAAAAATTGAATACAAGTAAACAGACTCGAAATAGTGATAATGAGTTTTGATTCAATGACTTGTATGATGTACACGTCGCGGTCTCACGAGTAGACTAGTACTGTGGTACTAGGACACAAGTTGTAGACAAACCAAATCGTAGCAGCGCATGCGTGCTGCTCCTAGCGACTAACAACTGCACAACTTGCGAATGTCTTATTATTGTACTAACACAACATAGTTAGTACATAATACTACTATCGAAAAATGCTTCTTACAACTTGTACCTTTGCAGATCAGATGGAGGTGCGGGGTGATGTAGTGTGACCTAGGGGAGGGGAGGGGTGAAGTGGGGTCATCCGGTTAAGTCGCGACCTTGACCGCGACTGGCGAACTACTTTCTTTCCAAGTTGTATATGTTTAGTTGATGAAGCATAATGTTAGATAAGATGACATGAAATCATGTGGACACCAAACCGTCGCTTACATAACGAGCCGAGTGACTCGAGTGACCCACTTGTACGAGGAAGCCGGCAGAGCCGCGCGACAGACGCGCACGCGTGTGACGTCACGCCGCCGTCTGTTTGTTTACATCGGCCAGTCCGCGCCCGCGCCGACGCAGCGTGAGCGCGAGCCTGCGGCTCAATGTTAGCGAAATCGGTTTCGATAGTGCGATAGATCGAAGTTGTGTCGAAACTCGCCCAATGTCGGGCAGCGAGGTTGCGCCGGCGCGGCCCCGGTGTGGCAACGGACTTCAATGTTGCACTACATTCAGTTCTGCGACGAATTCGCCACTGAGCTGCAGAGACGTCTGACAAGGAGTAGAGTCGTGCACTTTCTGTTTCATAAAGGAACAAGGCGAAATCTCTGCGCTTATGCAAGCGGCTGTGTGGTGTGTGTGTGTGCGGGTACGTTACCGAGTGGCTGCGGGCGGCGGCGGACACTTACGGGAGGTGCACTGCTGGCTGGCGCGGGAGTCCGGGGACGCGAGTGATCGGAGCGGGCGCGCGCGACCGAGTGCCGCAGCGGCCGGCGCCGGCGCCGCGCCTGCCCAGCACCCCCCTCCCCGCACCGTACCCCTCCCCCGCTGGCCCGCCTCTCACTCTGCTGTAAGTTTTCCGCAGCACAGAGGCGTTGCATGGTTTTCCCCGCTCCTCGCCAGCAACTACAGTACAGCCTCTAGTAATGTGTCCTACCGCGTAGCGCGGACTGTGTTAAACTACGAGTTCAGACAAATGTCGCACGGGACCTTGCTCGGAGCCTAGAGGTAAATATTCCACAGCACGACAGCCACTGAGGTTAGAGAGACATGTAGAGAAAGTCAAGTGGAAGCTCCTTCGTCGACCAGCATGCATACAGGTTCCTCGTAAGTGAAACGACAATGTGGTCATTTAGTGTTACCATTATACGCATGCGCAGAAGCAGGCGGTGTCCACTACAGGTCAGAGCCGTCGGGCGGCGCGCGGCCACAGGCGCGGAGTCGCCGCTACAGCTGTCTTTTGTTTGGATAGTATATCAATGGTGTATAGTTATACTATACTATATATATAACTGTATTTATTTCGCAAATAGTACAAAGTAGTACTCTTAATATCGACGCGTTAAATAAAAGTTTTGATGTTTGATAAAACATTGAAACAAATTCAGAGGTCACGGTCGCTTTAGATGTCCAGACGTAATAAGTAAAATAAAGAGAGAGAGGTCAGAGAGGGCTGTTTATTGGTTAACCTAGCCGCTAGCATGATGTACCTACATGACTTTCTGACTGACTGACTGGTCAAATAACTTGAGTAAATTCATATGTATAGTAATTATTATATGACCAGTTCACCAGGATTTCTGGCACCGAGCTGCTGAGGGTCGCGCGGCGTAACCGTTCACTTGCCTAACTAAATATTGTAATTTTATGACCCCTTAGAACTTTGTGTACATATTCGACCCTGTGCAAGATAAGCCATCGTAAATCATTTAGTGAGACTGCGCAATAATTAGCGATGTGAATGTGGTACGTAATGAAGACGACGAGCGGCGCGGAGTAGGCAGGCGTCAGGCGGCAGGCGGCAGGCGGCAGGTCACAGGTCGCGGGTCGCGTGCGCACGCAACGCGCGGCGCGCGGCGGTAATGGCGGCGCGGCGCGGGTCGCAGGTCGCCGAGGCCGCGCCGCGACATATGTCACGACAATTAACATTGTAGCCGAGCCACCCCAGCCCCGACCTTACCACCGTGAGGTCACCTCACTACCTGGCCCTGCGAGGGTACTCGTCTTGTAACGGGCGCTGACAGTATTGATGTGTTTGCTAACATCGCCATTGATTGTCACAGTTTCACCAATATCGCATGCCTCCCCCCCCCTCCCCCCGCGCGCCGCGCCTTGGCTTAGTTTTCTCAGTTTACGGCTAATTAATAACAGATGATAGATAACGTTGCGATATTATTTTAATAAAGCGGCGGCCACAGTTGAGCAAGCACCCTGCTCACGACATTAGCGCGCCACCAGAGGGTGTTGCTGCGACTTGCGAGTGGGTCTGTCTCTCAAAATCTACGTTGATCCTTAAATCTTGTGTCTCATTGTGGACCTGAAATTTTGAGGTCTCGTGGTTGCAACCTTCATGACCGCGGCCCTTCATAGCTCCGTCCGTACATCACAGAGCTGGAGAATGAGATGAGGTTGAGAGACTCACTGGAACCATTACGTACAGAACATTTCGAGATTGTGTGAAACACACCGCTCCTTGCTACTGTGAAGGTATATAATGTAAAGTTTTATTTTGTAACATTTACATCACTCGTAATATTTTAATTTTTGTATAAATAGGTAACAAATAAAACTTTATTCATAATTCAAAAACTCAAATTACGAAAATATATCTTAAGTACGTACAATTGATGTGACTGTGTTAGATGCCCTAGGACTGCACTAGGACAATCCTGTATCGCAGGCGAGACGAGCTCTAACTTCAATTCTTACAGTAACACATCTTATTTTTATAAATACAAATACTTATGATCATGCAACAGAAGACAATGTATAACATAACAAAACATCACGCCTTATATCCTCGAAGGGGTAGGCAGCGGTGCGTATTACGGCGTTTAATGCCACTGTATAATGTCACAACCACTATTCACTATTTATGTTATATGTCCCATGTAATAGGGCCTATTGCAATATACCTACCATTTTTCCAGACTCCGTGCTACTACTGAGGAGCGGGGAGGCGCACTTGTATGCTAATAATTAGCATATTGTTAATAATTAACAGCCTAATTATGTAGTTAATGGTCGTACGAAATGAGAGTGTTTAGTGGTAATATATGCGACCTCTAGCGGTGACCGTCGACAACTATCACTGTTTAACCTAATTTTCAGTAAACAGGTTAAAGCGTCCTAGCGAGTGGTCGTGACTCGCGGCGCCCGAAGCGCCCGCAGCGCCCGCTTGTGCTTCTACATGCCTTCCGCCATCTTGAAATATTCATATTATATTATATGTATGAACATGAGACGAAACAGTTCCCTGACAATTTTATAGGAGACAGAATGACTTAATCCTTACGCCACAAATAAGATGGTACGGTTGGTGGAAGCCCAATTTCTGAGCAAGTGAAACTTTGTAGAAAATTACAATGGCATGTCAATCTGGTGTTTGTATAATTGTAAAAATATTTCGTTTACTATCTCAACGAAATCAAAACCTGCAGACTGTGAACTACTCATTGACCTTTAAACACAGTAGTTTCATTTTCTTGTTTTACTTATAGAAATCTGAATAGTTTCGAATTGATTTTGATTTGATAAACTCCTCACTGAGATGTGAAACGTTTGAAGTACGTGAAATGGTAGACATGAGCTAATTAGATACTTTACTTACATTGTCGTTTAGGGACTGAGTCGAGGTGCTGCTGCGTTCTAATTACATTATTCATTTAGTGCGCGCTCACCCCGCGGCCACTGTGGCCTTTTTACAATTCACATAATTATGTTACAAGCTAGTATCAAAAGCAATGTGTTGCCACATATCATGGTTCAGTTACGAGTATTACGCAAGCGTGCCCTGAGCGCGGCGCGGCGCGGCCGACGTAGCGCGCGCCGAGCTCCAGCACTCGCCTGGATGAACCGACAATACCGACGTACATCCTGCCCACGACTCGACTCCTCGAAGGCAGAGATCACTTTCGTTCAAACACTTGTATGCCTGCTTTGGGTTGCAATTAACCTAGACTAGAACACCTTCCTGTAGAGCCTGTAGAGCACTTTTATAACTTAATTCGGTTTCCGTGAAATGTACTTGTATGCTTCGCTCGACCTCTGCCTGAAGTTTGGCTTCCTCTTTGGTTTTCATTGCACCTAGTTATGTGGAACAATTTGAGTATTTTCCCAATAACAGATATTTACTTACTTACTTGAAACATATTTTGTATTTTGCATTTTTGAATTATGAATAAAATTTTATTTTATTTTATTTATTTTTTTATTTAACAAATAAACGTAATCATATATCTTGGTAATAATAAATGTTCTAATTGTCGTACAGTAATGAAACTTCGCAGATAAACGGGGAGATTATTATATTTTGGTGTAACACTACTAACATACACTTTTCTTTAACGCGGGCGAAACAGCAGGTAAAAGTTAGTGCAGAAAAATTATATTGTATTCGAAATGGTTTAACTATTTGCTTTGTCCAATTGAGTAGAATTATCCTCACTACTAACTGAGTAGGCACAGCCTCCATCAACGAGGCGGACCAACTAAACAATACAAGTGACGTAGAGGGAACTCACCAAGGAAGTCTTCACAAAATACATAATACTTCACACAAGTAGATCGCTTGCAGTACACCTTGTAAGGCGACAATTTATTGTTATACAATAACCGAAAGTACGTGGAAATTGATTGACCTCCTTAAGTGTGAGTGTCCGACCTGAGACAAACTAGTTTCCGGCCCCACACGCACACACAGACATCGTCCTGCACTGTGACGGCGCAGGGACCGGCCGACCTGGCCTCGGCTGTGGAGTAGGCCAGGTAGCAGGAGTACCTAGTTGTTGCTCAAGTGCGTACATGCAGCGTCCTGCACTGCGCATTATTGAGGGAGCGAGGAAATTTCTTTAGGTGTACATTATCGGAATGTCGCGGAGTACTGTGACCACACATTACGTTCCGAGTGTCGAGTGGAGTGCTTGCGACACGCGCGACATTGACCCTCGACTGCAGCGCCGACCGCGCGCACACGGCGCATGCGCGGCGCAGGGTATCTTGTCTTACGTACTACATCAAGTTGTGCACGTTACATTCATTGAATAGACTTCAGCTAGTCTAGCGCGAGGTCCTACGTTAGAGTCTCGGATTGAGCAAAGTATGCAATAAGTGACGGAGTCGGTAGTGTCGCACATCGCGGACGTGGGTCACTTACCTAATAATTCATTAGTTATGCACCTACTTAGTTGTTGGGAATTATCACGAGGTTACGTAACGAGTCCAAATCACTACCGAGAACTGAACTGATGACTCTCATATTTTGCAATGTTCAGTCGATCATTTAGCTAATGTGGCACACTCACCGAACTGCCATTGCGCAAATAATAATTTATTTATTCACAATAACAAGCACTGACACGGACTGTCTGCGACCCGCTTTTCCTGGAATTTACAAGTGGGAGCGTTCACAAACTTAGACTTACTTGGTGCTGGGCAGTGGCGGCCGTAGTAGCGTAGTAGGGCGCCGGTGCGCCTGCGTCTTCAGAGCGGACGTCCGACGCTTGCGTCACGTCGCGTCCTCGCGCGCACCAACCGCGCCGTACAATGTACACCAACAGTGCTGCGCCTCTTGTAAAGTTGTAACACCTTCACGTTCAGCACACAGCTGCGGCCGGCAACCTGCAGCCTGCGGGTGTTTGTAATTCAACAAAGGAATGTTGTTTGTATTATTCGCTGACTGCGATATTTCCCTGTCGAATGAAAAACCGAAGTCGGAGTCAAAATCATGTATTTCAATTAGAGCATTAAGCCACATTTGAAGGTTCCTTTGTAGGTCGGTCCTCTAGTGAAGCTATTTGCTCGTTCCAAGGTGTAGATTCCTATGGAGAAGAACGAGCAAGAAACTCCATAGGTTACTCTTTTTTAATCATGTTCACAATACAATTTTTGGTTACATTGTTTCGTTGGTTCAATCGCCAACCGTAATGCTATCTCTGTCCATTCACATTAATGAAGCGACATACAAAACATTTTAATTCAGTATCACCAGTCAATTTCTATTGCGGAGCTGCGGACGGACGTAGCGGGCTGCCGGGCCCACCGGCTCCGGCTCGTACAACAGAAGTAGGAACGGGGAGTTTAGTCAATGAGGGACACTCCCTCTCGCTCACCCAAGGTGGCAGAGTAATTTAATGATTTTTCCCTTACAGAAAGCTCAATGAATATTAAATTATTACCAAGTTAGTATTATGAACAAGTGTGAAACAAGTGAAACAAGTGAATTTATTTCTGCAAATAGGCTACAAGGCAGCACTTCTACACGTCAATTTTATCAAGCGAACGATAAGGTCGACATTTCCTAACTGACTACTCTAAGAAGAAATGCCGAAACAAACTCAGAGGTCTGTCTCTTTTAAAGTCCAGACAATATGTATAATAGATTATGTGTAAGAACCTTGCAAGTTCTTTCTGTAGTGGCCTTTTGAGGAAAGAACCACAACAGTTTGAGCGGACCCGTTCTGAAGGCAGTACGCATGTGTCGGTTTACAGTCAGCTCAATTAACAGGCGAGGCTGACTGATTCGACGAACAATACCAACCTAAAAAACATTTGCGTGGGTCGCACAAATACTCAAACTGTCAGAAAATGGGTAATTAGAAAAGATTAATACACACAGTCCCTGCCAACCCCCATGAGAGACTGGCGTGAGTATGTATTATGTATTATTTGTTTAATCCACAAATTGTTGTATCGGTACTGGAAGTTATATATGTATGTATGTAAATGCAATCATGACATTTGCAGGCGGAAATCCCCGTGTGGGACTTCGTTTAAAAAACCCTAACATTTGTAGAAAGACTATAAAGAGTTAGATCTTAACAAAGCGGGAAATTACAGTGGATGCGGGTGGCGAGTTGTCGTTCGACGTGGAGGATTAAGCGGGAGGCGTTTGTCCAGCAGTGGACGTCTTCCGGCTGTTGATGATGATGAGGAAGAAGTTTGTAAAATTCTTATAATGTTCCACCAACCACATATTGACTATGTTAGGAGAGCTGCCATAGCGTTACATACATAAACATCACGCTTTCTACATTCCGAAGGATTAGGCCAAGGTGCGCATATTATAATAATGTATTCCTCCCTCTCGGACAAGAAGGGTTCCAGAAAGGCTATAGTACCATAGACCACAACCATACGCTGTGCCAAGTTATACAGAAGACCGACGAGTATCACTTGCCACTATGCTTGGCGTTTGTGGATTAAAAAAGCTTTTGGTTTGGACTTGGGTAGTGTCTCTTCGGCATCTTGATTTGTACAACAACGCCACCATGTCAGTCCGAGTATACGAGCAGAACACGAGGGATATTGCTCTGCAGCGAGGTGGGACGCAAGAGACGTCATATCTCTAGTCTTAAACTACTCCATTTGAAAGACGCTTTCAAGCTCTTAGAATGGAAACAATCTAACATTAACGCTAAGGGCGAGTACATCATTTTCCTTCGGTTTGCCGACGACATTGTAGTGAAGGCAGAATGTCTGGAAAATATGAGCTCAATGCTCGATGCAATGATTTAAAAGGTAAAAAGGTGTAGATAGGTTATAGGAGTTTAGAAAGTGGAAAGATACAATGTCATTAATTAACTACATTTTGGATTAATTACTATGTTTTTTGACGTACATAATTATTTGACGAAGAATTGGCCGTTGGGAGAGAAATGGTTTCGAACGGAGGCCAGTTGAGGCCACGTACTGGTACGTGCAGCGCAAGACGACCATCCACAAGGTGGACGGATGACCTAGCCAAGGTAACGGGGAGTCACTGGATGCAGGTCGCTTTCAACGATCACGACTCAGAAAGTTAGTTACTGAGTCGAAGACAAAGCATTTATTTCAATTAATCTAAAGGTAAAAATGAATTGTCCGTCAGTCTGTCAGTGAGGCTAGGTGCTCGTTCCAAAGTGTAGTTTCGAATGGAGACGTTACTATACGTTGTAACTCCGTTAGCTAAATATTACTATATACTTCCTCAAACAAGGAAACCAGTTCGTGTTTCTTAATACTAGAATATTTTCTGGTAATGTGGATGCATTTGCAAGGTGATAGGTGATGGAGTAAATATATGGCACTGGATAATGGTGTACAAAATGTTCCGTCTCTTGTACGGAGCAAATGTAACCTGGTCACGTTTATATTTTGGACAATAACTAAAGTAAGAATGAATCAAACATTTCCAAAAAAGTCTGACATAGTGTAATTTTTATGTGCGCCAAGTCGCGCGCAAATTGATTATAATTTACACAATATATTTTTGTAAAAAAGGAAATGTTCGATGAGCAATACATTGCGACGCGCGTCGACCGACCTGCGAGTCCGCTGTGAATAGCATCGGTTGCGATATTGTCTATGTTTGTGTCTTGCAACAATTTATTGAGACGCTTGGAATTACATAATTCTATAAAGTTGGAATACTGTTGTGGATGCTCTGCGCATGCGCCGGCGAGTGGCGCCCATACCCGCCATTCGAACGGATTTAGAAAGGACGTTTCCTTGCGCTTTACTTTATGCGCGGTGCGCGGTGCGCATGCGCGGCCTCGCGCTGCGCGTAATTAGCGGCTCGCACTTATAGCGCATGTCATGTTACTTATCTTTCTAATGCACACATTACCGGCTACGAAGGACAAGTGTTGCGCTTGCGACACCACCTCACCTGCTCACCTGCTCACCTCCGTCCGCCATCCACTGACCGTAATACTCGTCCCGTTCCCACACACCTCGCGACTTATAATCATTTCTGATATACATTCATGTTCATAACAAATAAATTATTGACTAAAAACACGACTGATTCGTCAAGAAAATGCGCTATACAAAAGACATCAACGCACTCGTGTTGTTATTGTGTGGGTATGCCGCGGACACATTGCAAAACTGAAATGAACAATTATGTCACCCGCGTAAACGACGTCGTTTGAACTTGTTAATGAGGTTGTATTGTAATTATGATCATGCCCAAGTGATGTCGTTATTTTCGTATTAAAACTAAGTATGACAAGCTCGACATTTTGTACTATACTCTTATTCATATTTTAAAAATAACCATTATTTCCCTTAGCATGTTGTGTTATTTTTTTATTGTGAGTGATTTAGTTTAGTTCCGCGCGGAAGACGCAGCGAGCAGCGTGTGACATTATCATAACACAATAAACAGCCACCACGTGTCGAGCGCCCGCCGCCGGCGACCGGCCATTGTTACCAGCTACACGGTGTGAGAGTAGACTGTACGTCGCTGCCGCCCTCTGGCGCATAAGTACATCATTCAGAGAGTGACATAGGAAGATACATGATTAGGCTTGGTTACAGATATACCGATATACTACAAGACTCATATCAGTATTATGGTGAACTCAAACACCAAATTGTAACGATGCCAACGGGTCCCTTCGAGAGAGCACTACTCCGCATTGTATAGTGCGGGCGTTATTACGTGTTGTATGACGAGTCAAGCAATCGCGGACAGTCGTGTGATGTGGCGGCTCCTGAGTCCTGCCGCGCGGGAGTGGGAGCGCGCGGTGGGGCGCGGCGCGTGGGGCGCGTGGGGCGCAGCGCGGCGGCCGCGCGCGCTGCCTGCGCCAGTCTCGTCTCTGCTCGCTCGCATGATGGTCGCCCCCCGCCCGCTCACGTCGCTCGCGCTGCTGCTGCTGCTGGCGCTGGCCGCCGCCGCGCCACACCCGCGCATGCGCCGCCAGCTCGCCGACGACGACGCGCTGCAGCCCATCGAGGTATGTGCGCACCGCTCTCTAACCCCGCTCCCGACTAACAGGATCGGGCGCTCGCGCTGCTGCTGAGTGTTGCAGCGAGCGTGGCGCAATAGGTCACATTAGCACGTCGCTGACCCAGCGCGACCTACTGTACATTCGATATACTACCTACTAACCTAACCACGCTTGTCACAACGAGATGAAGGCGCGCCGGCTGACGGGGTCAGCAGAGCGCTGCGTCCGCCGCGGAGTAAGCGGCGGCGGTGCGGTGACGTAACGAGACGCGTGCGACCCGCGGCCCTTATGTAAGTTGGCGCTTCGTGCGACATTGTCCCGGTTCGCACGCGTCTCGTCGCGTCTCGCCGCCTCTTGTGTTTTGTTCCGTGTGTTTGTTCACAGCTCGTCGCAGTCGCGTCGCCTCGCCTCGCCTCGCTCTCTTCGCTCGACTCGCTTCATTCATAATGCTTGAAACATTCATCACTTAACATTTCCGTTCTCGTTGATTGCGTACATGAGCATATCGCGCATGCACGCACTCGCTCCGGAGTCAGGGTACCAGCACAAGTGTCGGACAATGTTTGTGGCACACTCGGTACTCGGCCGGAGCCGCGACGTACGTTGCGTGCGCTCAAGGACACAAGCTGAGCGCACATTACGTGAATAGTTTACATTAGCGCCGCTGGCCCACTTAATACGATATTATACGGTAATTTTAGTAAAGATGCTTTAAAATAAGATAAGTTCATATGACGAAAAGCTTGCGCATTGTGGATAAACGCGGTAGTGGTACAGCGACTGAGCAGTGAAGTGACCCGCGAAGTCAGCTGTAGATGTAGTGCTCCTCACTGCGAGGGGCAGGAGCCACTTGGGCATTCTGCGCGCGCGTGTAATGTGGCAGTCTGTAGGCACGCCGAGGGCTGCATGTTCTCACGCGTACTCGCGGAGTTGCCCAAGTATCAATTGTTAGAGTTACAACAACATTTCATTTGCGTTTCTTTATTTATTTCGGAACTAAGTATATATGTATCACAGCGGCTAGTCTCCCACGGGCCTATGGATTAGGTGCATATAGTACAATTGCAGGACATATAATTATATTATGTAGTTATCACATTTCATACGACGACTGCGGCGATGTCGATAGCGTCGGTGTCGTATGTCCATCGCGCTTATGTTTCATCATTACATATTTCGTAAACCAGCTAGAACATGGCAGCTAGTGGGTAACTGCGTAACCTTCGCGGGCAGTGATCGGTCTCATCTGGCGAGATTGTGTGACCTCCGATGCGTCGTCGCTGGGGAGGCGCAGCACTCGCGTCGCGTGCTACTGCAGCGCCCGCGGCACGCGCCGTGAGAGGCGGGCGGCCTCGACCGGCCCTACAGTGCCCACAATGTCCTGACTTTATGTCTAGCACCTGCTGTTAATATAATATTAATGAAAAACTTGCTCGCCATGCCACCTGTTATGATGGACAGAAACTAAATCAGTAATCAACTGGAAGCGACTCGTAGAGTCGTAGGCAAGTTCAAGGCTAATAAGATGATCAAGCAGTGAAGCGGAGCCAAACATCGTATCTACGTAGCACAGGGCGGGTGCTCTAGTGTGGAGACGCTGTACAGTACTCGTGCAGTTATACACAGTGGCACTGCGGCACTGCGGCACTGCGGCAGTGCCTGTGGTACGGTGGAGAACCTGGTATACAGCAGACGTGGTAGCTCTCGTATGTTAACTGCAGTCCGGTTCAGGGGAGACAGGGTGGCGGTGGCAGGTGGCGGTGTGGGTGGTGGCGGACTGTATGGTGGCGGACTGTGTGTGTGTGTGTGTGTAGTGTGTGGCTGCGTAGTGTAGTGTGTAGTGACCGCGGTGTGTGTCTGCAGGACGGTGCCGGTGACGACCAGACGAGGGAGAAGCGCAAGCTGGAAGGCGTCACGCAGGCCAAGTTCGGCATCAAGAACGCTGTCCTCGGATTCGTGTTCGGGGTAAGTACAGGCCACGCTCCCTCCCGCCCTCCGATAAGTCACCACATCGCCGCGTCACTCGCTCACTCTCTGTTGTAGAAAATCAACTCGCTGATTGACGCGAAGACACGATTGGTCGACACGTTGGACAAACAGAACATCGAGCTGAACAAACAGTATGGCATCGAGGCTCCGCAGAACGGACTCGCGTCGCTCAGCGGCATCGTGGGTCAGGTCATTGGTCCCAAACTGCAGCTGCTGGGACCTAAGATCCAGGCAGTGACGGGGCTGCTAGGCGGAGCGTCCGGCGGCTCTGGCGGCTCAGGTGGGGGCGGACTCGGCTCCATCATCTCACTCGTCACTTCTCTGTCGGGCTCCTCGTCAGGTGGCGGCGCCGGCGGCACCGTCGAGACCATCGACTCCTCTGAGGAGGACGACTCGTGATCGCCGCGCCTCGTCGCGCACAGTCCCCGTACAGGCGGAGCGCCCCCTCGCGCACTGCTAGCGTAGCGAGAGCTTGGTGACCGGCACCCCGCCTGTACGAGTCCGACTGTGTCGCCCTCCTCCCCCCCTCGGGCCGCCTGTACAGTCCGCGGCCCCCCTCCCCGTGCCGGCGGCGCGCCGCCCTCTACGTTTTGTATTTATATTGTAAATAGGTTTAGGTGAGCGTTGGTGATATTAAACGATTCCTCGGAACTAGTGTTGTTTTACTGCACGCTGCGCCGCATGCCCACCAGCTTGTGCCCACGCGGGACCTCACTCGCATGTACATGCTGCGACTCTCGGCAGGCCAGTACTGTGTATATAATGTGTCTCGTGTAGTCCAGCCACTAGTCTACTTCGTGCTGCAGTCAGGAGTGCTGCAGGTCGCCAGATACATCAAGTTAGTCATTTGCCAAGTTTCGTTGGTTGCCAGCGTTTTCGTAAATTATTTAATATATCCGGTGTGGCTTGCGAACCGGACAGCTAAGTAGGTGGTCAGCGTACAATTACCGAGCGGCCGAGGTCGCGCTGTAACACTAACACTGCTGCCATGTACTGGCTGGACTCACTCCACTAGTCCCGCGCCCACTGGTCAATACGCGCAATCATGTAACCTATTTATTTATTATAGCTTTGCCACGTACAATATATTATGTACGTAGACCGTGATGACGTCTCACTCACCTCTAGTCTGCCTCATAGCGCCAGAGCTGCGACGCCTGCGGGCCGTTGCAACAGTTTGTATGAAGAACAACTTAAGCTTTTATATAATGCCGTGTTTATGAATATGTGTGTATGTATGTAAATAATTATGTAGCATTTACTGTATAAAGTAGTTTGCACCGGTGACAGTGTTTAGGAACAATGATGCGTAGTGCGGCTGGGACGCGAGACGTATCAACGCACGCACGGCTCCGGGTTGTAGCACTGTATAGTGCACTCGTCACAGAGTCACAGTAGCGCACCGTAGTAGCAGTGTCGTAGTAAGTTCCCGGAGCCCGTAGCCTGTAGCCCGTAGCCCGTAGCCTCTAGCCTGTAGCCCGTAGCCCGTAGTCCCTCGCGCACGCACACACGCACCACGCGTCACACGAGACGTCCCACTGAGTGCCAGCAGAGAGCAGATCATATTTACTGTTCATACCGAGGTTTATGAAGATTCATTCAGAAGTTCACTCATTTTCATTTGTTGCGTAACGAACCAACTTTCACATAAATAAGTATTTATCGGAAAGTCTGGCTCTGTCTATCGTCACCCTATAATCCATTCAACAACTACAACATTCAACACGCCGTTGCCTTCCGCTGCTCTCCATGGGTTGTAAAATATATGAATCCAAGCAAGACTCAGATATAGTAACCTGACTCTGTATTAAACCACAGATAGTCGTGTTGTATGTAACACGATGTCATTTAACTCTCCGCGTTGTGTGAGTTATGTCTTGCAGTCGACCGGTACCTACATAGCGATGTTACCGCACACCAGGACATGTCATAACATGCGTCTCTCACTCTCTCTGTATCTCACACTCTCTCTCTCTCTCTCTCTCACTTACCTACTGACTCACTTTCCCATCACCTCGGCTTTACCCATCATTCCCGTCATGGCGTCTCTCCGTTTATACAACCGACTCTGCAATTGTTGAAGTTTCCGCTGCTAACGAGCATAGTACACCTTGATATCTACGTATGTATGTATGAATGTATGAATGGTATGTTGCAGTGTTAATGTATCACTATATAATGATGTATATATAATAAATACGATACTGACATTTATTTGTACTATCTTATTTACGCTGCAGCCGTTACCTATCATTTTAATTGCGTGAATGCGCCCATGGGCGGTGTCTTCATTCTACCAGAATTATCACGTTTGAGGAATATGATGCAAGTTGTTGTTCTACACATTGTACGCGCAATACTGGCATTCGCAATTAATAATATAATTGTGCGAAATGCATGACGTAGCAGTCGGTCGACACAAATACTGATCCACACTCGAACAAAGCAAACGTACACAATATACACGAGAGGAGGCGAAGCGAGGCAAGGCGAGGCGCGGGCCACGCGAGGAGATGCTCAGTGGCCCGCTGTCTCAGAGTGGCACTACGTCGCGGCGCCGGGAGCTGGCGCCGACACCGGGCTCGCCGGGTACAGCGCACCCATCGTGGTCGCGCCGCACCCGTCGCCAGAACGACGACATCCCCGTTTTCGACCGGAACAAGGTCAGCCTGGACCTGCCGGGGAGCCTGTTTGGGCCCTCCGTGTCGCTGCTCATCCGCACTACTAAGATTATCGGCGACGTGATACAGGTGAGACCTCCTCATTACCCCCCCACCCAAACCCACCCCAGCACTGCACACTCACTGCTTGCCCTGTTACAGAACTCCGCGGTGCGTTACCAGACCTTCCTACGACTCTTCCGGCCACTGTTCCGGGGGCCTTTCGAAATCAAGGGCCTTGACCCGGCCACCACCACCACTACCACCACCAGCACGGCGGCCCCCGTGCCCGCGGACAACGAGGTGCGGCGGCGCTGAGGGCGCCCTGCAGTGTCTGCCTCCACCGACACTGCCCTAGTAGTCACTAGCACGCACTCTGCGTCGCTCCCGCGCCGGCGCCCCACTGCACCGGTAGCGCCGTGCGTGGCACCCGCCGAGGGACTTTAACTTGTTAACTAAACGTTAACTTTAAAGATTTCAAAAGTACTTAAATGTACAATTGTGACTTCTTACACCGGGAGCTGTAAATCCGTATTTATAAAATAGTTTTCTTGTCAACTCTGACAAAGTTCATAAGGTTGTTACGTCATCACGAGTCACTCTCAAGTGTGGCTCGCCGCGGTGCACCGGGGACTGTAACATTGCTCAACGTTTAGCTAATTACATTGTTGTACAAAGACACGAGTTTCATTTCACCCTCGCGTAGGACAACCATTGACCTATAACATTCCGAATGTAGATTTGTATGTCCCTGCTGCCAGAGCCAAAGGATCATCACATTGTTTTGCTAACACAATATTTTACAACAAGGACTGCTACGACGTTAACAGAACCGCAGAGACAAATCAAAGAATTAAATGAAAAAATATTTACAGTTAAATTCACATAACTCTAAACTCAAACCAAAAGCATTTATTCCAATTAAACCATTAATCAATTAATTAATTAATTAATTTACAATTAATTAATTATTAATTAATTAATTATTTACTTTGGAATTGTCAACAAATATAAAATAAATAATAGTCAGTCAGTGAAGCTGGACAAAATGTAGATACGATTGGAGAAGAACGAGCAAGAAACTGCTTTCGGTACTCTTTTAAAAAAGTCTGTTTTACAATGTCTCTGATACCTGTACCTACATATTCCAATATTGTACACGTGTGTGAGAACAATTTAAAGACACGCTTGACGCATTGTAAACATTACAGAACTTTTAAAATAAATATCTTCTGTCTAACATGGTGCTCACATATAATAATATATTATGTATATTGACAATCCATATTATAAAATAGTGCTAAATGTCGGAGGATGGTGTGAGAGCCCTCTTCGTCACATATATCGGTAGAGGTATGTTTAAGCAATTAAATCTTCGTAAATAAACAAGTGAAACAAGTGAATTTATTTCTGCAAATAGGCTACAAGGCAGCACTTTTACACGTCAATTTTATCAAGCGAACGATGAGGTCGACATTTCCTTTCTGATTTTTCTGAGAAGAAATGCTGAAACAAACTCTGAGGTCTGTCTCTTTTAAAGTCCAGACAATATGTATAATAGATTATGTGTGAGAACCGTGCAAGTTCTTTCTGTAGTAGCCTTTTGAGGAAAGAATCACAACAGTTTGAGCGGACTCGTTCTGAAGGCAGTACGCATGTGTCGGTTTACAGTCAGCTCAATTAACAGGCGAGGCTGACTGATTCGACGAACAACACCAACCTAAAGAAAATTTGCGTAGGTCGCACAAATACTCAAATTGTCAGAATATGGGTAATTAGAAAAGAAATGGCGAGGCAAAGTCTCACACGGTCCTAGCACTAACAATTGTAAAAATAAAAAGTAAATGTCAAGGTAGATAAAAAAAAAAATTTCAAATGAAAAACAATGTTACATTAAAATAATAATAATTATCAAATTGCACATAAAAAAGAAATTTAACTATATGTTATGCCTTTTCTTATGCATTGTTCAAAATTAAACAAACGGTTAATATTTCTACAGTCCTTACAGCCTACAATGGCTATGTTGTACCTATTTTGAAGTATTGTGTTATTTTTTGGGGCAATACTACCAATAAAGAAGCTGTGTTTAAAGCCCAGAAGAGGTGTATCCGAGCCATAACTAGTATAAAAATAACTGACAGCTGTAGTCCATTGTTTTTGAAATTAAATATTCTTACTTTACCTTGCATATATATATTCGAAGTTATAATGTTTGTTAGAAGGAATACACACTATTTTAATAAGTTACATAGTAAAAGACACAAATTCAATGTATGTCTACCAAGCAACAAAACATTATTAAATAAAAGTATATTATGTATGGCTCCACGCATATATAATCATTTACCAAATTTATTTCTGGGCATAAGTGATGAAAATATATTTAAAAACAGTGTTAAAACACTGTTACTGAAAAAAGCATATTACTCTGTCACAGAATATTTACAGGATAAGCTTATATAATGTTACCTCATTTGTAAAATACTAGTTTATTGGTGCCTAATATGTGTTTGTAGGAATCGATCTCAAAAGTAAAACGCCGTATTATCAAAATTACGCTTTATTAACCTTGACTATGTTTCTATAAAATACAATTATGTCGACACAAGTATGCCTCCACTCTTCGACCGCTGCCGCCATAATGAATCCTCGATCAACGTCGTCGTGCCACCCCCACCATGCGTCCTTACGGCGAGGACGCCACTGCGGCTCAAATAACAACCGTACTCATGACTTATTTCCTTTTACAACTGTAGTTATTATAGCTAGGTTACAAAATATTAAAGGATTGCTATATGATACCAGTTGATACAATATTCGATAATTAATATATTACTATTAGCATGACACAAAGTACTGGAAACATATGATATCTAATTAATAAGCTAACATGTTATTGTATCTTTCTTTTAAATTTGCATGCCTTTAAGGTAGAATATGGTTAATGGACACTATTTTGTATTTATAAGACCTTTTTTTGTACCCATGTTCGCAAATGAATAAATGATTTGATTGATTTGTTACTGTAGAATTTGGTAGTAGATCGGTACGGGGAAACATGTCAACATGACCTGTGTGGACGTTACAGCTTAGGTACATCTTATTCTCAAGCCAGACATTCATTATCTAGGCAGTCTTTTATTTTATAAAAAGCTTTACTATAAAGTTTAACTTTAATGACATTTTTAAATTTATTTAGACTTGAATATTTTGGATATGGCTGGGAATTTTATTGTAAAAGCGTATAGGTACTCTGGCATCTAAACAAACCACTTATTTTCTTTAGTCTAGTAGTGGGAACAATATATTTGTCTTTATTTCTCGTGTTGATATTATGTATATCACTATGCTTTTAAAATAAACTTTTGTTTTTATGAGCATATACTACATTTTCATAAATGTATTGAGAGGCAACAGTCATTACATTAATTTCTTTAAATATGTAGTTCCCTGAGAGAGTACCTCGGACTAACATTATAAATTGATCGAATGGCCCTCTTCTGCAGAACAAAGGTAGACTGAATAAGAATTTAAGAATTAAGAATTATTTAAGAATTAAGAATTATAAGAATTAATGAATCGTGCATCCATGGCTCTGTACGGGGCCCCTGTGTGGGCATCGGACTTGACGGCCAATACTCTCGCCATATTGAGAAAACCGCAGTCTGCCTTTTTTGTATTAAATTTTCTGGTAGTTCTGGTTATGTGTGTCCCTTTTTCGCGTACTAATTTTATATTAAAGAAAATTGTGTTGTGGTCCGAGCTTGTCACCCCTGTATCAACCCGCCAGTCGTCAACCAGGTCAAACAAGTCCAGCGAACATGCCGTGACATCTACGTGGCTTTTTAGCGCTCTACCACCTCTTACGGTATCAAACGTAGTTGTATCGCCTACGTTGAGTACCTGAAGCTCCAACTCATCCAGGGTCCTGGACATTTCTTCTCCCCTGGAATCCTCGATCGTACTGCCCCACCAGGTGCTCTTCGCGTTTGCGTCGCCCCCTATCAGCAATCTTCCGGTGGCCACTTCACTTTTAATCTTGGACAACCGATCCAGATATAGCCCTAAGGGTTGGTCTGGTTCGAAGTAGTAAGAGACTACTGCGATTTCCCATGTTTTGGTGCGGATTCCCACCACCACGATGTTGTTGGTGGTGAGTTTCGGGTAGGGGATGACATCTAAGTCACCGTCAAAGACGGCTATCGCCGCTTTCACCTTCCCACTTCCATCGACCTCACACTGGTAGACTCTCGCACCGCGGTAGCTCCTCATACTCCTTGCCCCTCCCACGTATGGTTCCTGGATCAGTGCTCATGAAATTTTACGTTCACTGGCCTCTAAGAAGAGTTCGGTGGTCGCCAGTTCCTTTCTTTGTATATTTGCTTGGGCCACTCGGTATGGTCTTGCATTTTTTGTTGCTGGAGTATTCCTTGGGATCACCTTAGCAATATGCTATTGCTGTTCTCGCTATTGCATCCCACTTTTTTCTAACCGAGCATTCTGTGCTAAATGCGTTGTGATCCGTCCTCTCGAGTTTGGCATGTGTGCTGTTACAGCACTGTGGTGTGGATCCAGCGAGCCAGTCCGCACATTCGGTCTTTACGTGCGGTCCCCCGCAGTGACTGCATTTTTCTAATGTTTCTGTGCACATCTTTCGACTATGCCCGTACCCAAGGCATAGCGAACACTGGAGAAGTGGGCTCTGGTCTTCCGCCCGAACTCGTTGCAGGTCTATATATACATGGCCTTTCCCCGTCACCCTCTGCCAGATCGTAGGCGAGGTACTGAGCACTATATGCCCGGTATGCGGATTTCTGGCCCTCTTTCTATATTTTATTGCGATCCTATCCGCCTCTCCGTCGAGGTTGCGGAAAACATCTGGGTTTTGATTCCTCAGTGCCTTGATAACATCCTCATCGGTGTTAACTAGGAGGACGTCCCTGAGGATGAGAAGTGGATCTCTGTTTTTCACTTCCTCCACAGTTAGGTCGGTTCCCCTCTTTTTCAATCTGTCTTTTACCTTATCCCTATCTTCCTTTGTTTAAAAGCTCATAATAACTTTTCTATTCATAATCTTCCGAACTTTCTCTACTTTGATCCATTGATCCTTGGCATCCACTGCTTCCCTGATCTTAGTTAGCACCTCTTCACCCGTCATCTTTTCGTCGTCTGTGGTGACAGCTATGGAGTGAAGAGCAGGTTGCCTCAGTGGTGGTTTTACCGACTGATTTGTCACCGCATCGGCGTATGAGATCTTCTCTATATTGCTTTGGTTGATGCGCAGTGCTTCATTCAGCCTATCCATCCTCTCACTGTTCTCGGCGAGCAGCCTGCTGTGCTCTTCCAGCGCCTTCCTGAGAGAGTCCACCTCAGGCTCCATGCCTCCTCCTCCCCCGCCCCCCCGCATGGAATGGGAGGGTGAAGGGGGGGAGCCACTGTATTCTTTGCCTCTGCTGTGTGCGTTGTTCCCGCGGGGGGGGCTCGTCCTACTCCTGATTCCGCCTCCTTGACCAGTACGTAGGGGGGGGCAACTAGATTTGTGACGTCTTCTTTAATTTCCCTCTTTATATGGGGGGGCAGTCCCATCTGTT